CTCTTGCTGCATGGGTGGTGGGTAAAGGACTGAAATGGGGAGAGGCAGCCCTCAGCTGATGGCCAGTGCCCAGCATTCCCACCCCAGATGGCTGCTCTGCTGGTTCCTGTGCTGCAGGGGAGGCTCAACAAAGGCTCCAGCTCTGCCAAGGTGTGGATCAAACACAGCAGCAGGCTGGAGGGGAAGCTCAGCCCTCCCCTGACAGCACGTGCAGACCATAATGCTACAGACCACAGGCTTACGTCACACTCTAGAGAGCACCAAACCGTAGCAAGGACAAACTGCCCAAGTTAACACCAGCCACCTTCCTGTGACAAGGGGCTGATGGCAGCCTGAGCCAAGGCCTTGCTGCAAGACCCTGTGTAAATCCCACTGCTGGCTTGTGCACTGAGATGAACCGACGGGACGCTCCCTCACGTGTCCCCTCCCTTTGGGGACACACCTACACCACTGCTCTGCTGTGGTTCAGATGTTTAGTAAGTGCAAGAAATGGCTTCCGTAGAAAAGAACATTGGGCACCTCCAGTAGTGGTTTCCAGTCCCTCCACTCCCTGCACAAGCATATCATGTTGGGTGAAAACAGCTCTGAAAGCACCCAAGAGTCAGCTCAGGCTGCCAGGGCATGGTGGGCAGCCTGCAGGGCCACCCTTCTGGGAAGGCAGGCATGCCTGTGCTTTCATGATGCCCCTCCAAGCCACAGACACAGTCTCAGCTGCCTGGGCTTATTTTCCAGACCAGAGACTCCTAAAAAGACCATTCCAAGCACTTCACACCCACCTGACACCATAGAGGTAGCAGATATGGGAGCCCTGTACTTCAGCCACCAGGTATCATTCGTAAGAGAAAATGGATTATTTCTCATGGAAAAGAACAATCTTTCACCATCCTGAGAAAAACCACCCAGCCACAGTGGCAGTGCAGAGAAATGGTCCCACCAGCCTGGCAGCAGACACTCCAGAAACAACGAGTTCCCCAAGCAGCCTCTTATCCGTGCATCTGCATGGAAGAACAACCAACACTACACAGATACGTGTCCAAAAGAGATCAGCACCCAAAGCTACACACTGCTCACAGCTTCAGCATCTCTGCTCTGTGCCCTGTCCCAGCACAGAGGGACAACTGGACGTGTAATAGGCTTCCAAAGAAGAGCACAGTAGGAAACAAAGAAACACAAAAGTAAGAAACGCTCTAGATTCAGTCTGTTGAGAGAACTTAGTCCTCCTTTTTTTTTTTGTAGACCTCCTGGTGGTATTTATTGCTCACTTGTGGAAACCCTGATGCTGATCCATACCCTGCTTCTGAGAGGAAACCCTGGGTACAGACATAGGAGGTTAAAACCTGCTCTGAACTTCAGAGCTAATGATCCCACTACAATTTCTCTGCTATTGCAAAGGGGTTGCTGCTCCACAGGCACACAGCACCAGGCAAATCCTCTGTCCCTGATCAACCACTGAGGGGAGAGGGGGGGGTCCTGCAGCCAGCACACAGGGCTGGGGCAGCAGATCTTGACTCTGGTCTCAGCTTTCCTAAGAACTTTTTGGGTGGCCCTACTATACTTTTGATGGCTCTGCAAGAGTGACCTCTCACAAAGAGGCTAGAAGACTTAATTCTTTAATGATGCTGAAGTATTCAGACATCTGGAGAGAAGCACTATTCAATTACTGTTGTGCCAAGGGAAAAAAAAAAAAAACACCTCTCATCCCTAATCTTAGCTGCAGCTCTGGAGTCATCTTTATTGGACCATGCACGCTGTGATAACACAGGGAAGGATCTGCTGCAGAGCACAGGCAGCAGCAACTGTGGGAACCTTAACTCAGCATTTCCTGACATGGGTGATTAAAATCTCAAACTCGGTGTAATATTAACACTTTCTCAAGAGACTGACAGCACGTTTGCCCTGTTTACCAATTTACAGTCTGTGCAGTAAGCTGCATATGGTACTATCAGATTTAAAGTCAATATAGACCCATAGCAAATTAAACCAGTGGCAGAGAAAAAATGGCAGAGACTCAACTCTTCAGCTCACTTTGCCCCATCCAGCTGTTTAAAAAAAGCAGCAACAACTTCTCATTGGTCCAGCCTCCTTTTTTGCATTTCTTATTGGAATCCCATACAAAGTGACTCGATATTGTCAGGTAAGCACCAGGTCAGCCTGGACCCTCCTACCCAGAAAGACACAACGTCTGAGAGACCACAAAAAACAGCCATGCACAGAATGAAACCCCAAAGAGTTGCAGGCACAACGGACAAAGCCCTAAGCACAAAACAACCAGGCTGCAACCCAAACACTTCTTCAGCTTGCTTTGAAACTGTCCCACGCCCTCCGTGCCAGCAGCATCAAATCCAGACACAGAGGAAGGGGACAAACAGCGACGCATGATCCTCAGAGTGAACAGATGGTTCTTCCAGCTCTGCATCTTCCTAAACACATGGTGTAGAAAACTGTGAAAGCAGCAGCTAAGCCAAGTCTCTACCTAGACACACACTGCCAAGAAAACCTGCCAGCCATGCACACCACCTCTTCTTGTCACAGCAATGGCTGCAGCACAAGCTGGCCTTCTGCAGACCTGCCATCAGGCTTTACCAACCCCACCCAGGTGGCTGCTAACCTTGAAATAATGTTTGTGTCTTTGTATAGGGCTGCAGAAAGAAATATAAAGTCAGGACTGAGAAGAAACTCATAAGCACATGCTGAGCAGACTCTGCTCACTGCTGAGGACTGTGCACATCAGCAGGTCCGGGGACAGTAATGGCTCAGCAGCTCCCTGCCAAGTGTGCCATGTCACAGGACTGGCACCCAACTGCCAGAACAATGAAGCAAGCAATCACTGAGGACAGAAAACAACTCCAAGCACTTTTTTGTCACCTGTGAAGCAGCCAGCATCCCCACAGTGAAAACACTGCACTGGCCTCCACCGACAGGCAGAAGGAGCCTCCCACACCTCTGCCCTGTACGTGTCCAGGGCTGTTCAGGTCTATACTGTGGTGCTGTATCTGCTTCTGAAAGCTGAACGCTCTCCCGTTGTACCCTGCAAAATTCCCTTTTCTGGCCCAGAAACAGCTGCCACGAAGACAGATGCCCGAGGAGCTCCCTGCAGAGCTCAGCTAGAGGCACAAACCAGAGATGGCCTCTTGCCTCAGCCTGCTCAGGGGCTACAGCTGGCAAGGAAGAGACCAAGGCGGTGACACCGTCAGACTCATTTCCCCCAAACGACACGTGAGCCCTGGCACACATCCCCTGGGAGAAGAGCTGTTCCCGTCCCGCCGGGGGATGCGGGGCAGAGGTGCTGGCAGAGCTGCAGGGCCCTTCCGAGGCCGAACAGTGCCACACAGTGGCAACAGCCCGGCTGCTCCTTCCAGGGGAGCTGCGAACCACCCAGGGATGCAGCGATGAAGAGAGGCTGTAGCTCCAAGGGGCCCAGAGCTTCCCCAAGAGCTGCTGTCCTTACCAGCCCACAGCTTCCCAGCACGGCAGCTCTGGCACTGACGCAGATCTAAGATCTCCTTTTCACTTACTTTCAATCCAGATCAGTCTGGGGACATGGTGTAAGCAGTGGTACCAACACCAGACAGGTGCTGCACTGCAGGCAGGGGCAGCCTGAAGACAAACACCCTGGCTGCCAAAGCCAGCAGCACCCAAACCTGTGCCCCTCAGCTGCCCCTGTCCTTTTGCCATTGTCTTTCCGGTTGTGCAGCCTCCCCACGATCAGCAAGCTCGTGCTTTCAGCAAGCCAGCACTTCAAACAGATGAAGAAATCAAGACTAACGGTACTAATCAGACACACAATCTGTCCAGGCACTTCAGAGAGCACAGCCCCACTATCATCAGGGAGCAAGCTCTAGTGAACAGCACTGCAAACCACCAGACAGAGCTGCCCCAGGCTTCTGCTAATGGTTACACTACCCTACAGGGGAGCACTGCAAAAGAGAAACTAATGCCTCAAAAACATTCACAGCATCTTATGTCAAAGTATCTTAATGATTTATGGAGAGGCTAAAGCTTGGCACGTTCCTTTCAGTGATGCTGAGGAAGCAAAGGTCTCCAGAAGAAAAGTTGAGGAGAGGGAAAACAACCAAGGGCAGTAACGTCTTAAAAATGCTGCAGCACCGTGCCAGAGCTTATCTTTCAGAGCTCCAAGACTTCACCCCAGTTCCACCCAGCTGAAGTCACAAACTAGTTATAAAAGTACAGTTGTGTCTGAGAAGCTCTAGGCCCTGGAGTATGTGGGGAAGGTCTTCCCAGCTCTGCTAAACTCACATCCTCAACAGCCATTTTAGGACAGGCAGCCCAGAGGGCCCTGGCAAGTCCTCTTGCAGGCCGCATGTGCCAAAGGAGTGTGAGGATTCCTAGAGGATGAGCTCCCAACCACCACTGCCTTTGCCTGCATTCCTGGGCCTGACAAACAAGAGCTCACTTGGGCTCCTCTTGCAAGGTACACAGCTCGAACAGACAGGTCAGAGACACCATCAGTCAATTATTTTTTTAGCCTTGCCAAGGAAAGGCACCAGTCTGGCCTTGCACCAGAGCAGCGACGCAAATGTGACACCTACACTGGAAATTAGAACCACAGTTTTCACATTCCCACTGCAAGCTCTGATCAGCTGGCACTGGGACAAGTGACCCACTTCGAGAACAACCCTCAGAGCTTACAGGGTCGCAGTTAACCCTGATCTTCAGCATCTGACCTCATTTCCCACCAACAACCTCACCCAAACCAGAGCCCTCAGCAGAGGCATTTTACAGCATCTGCTGCTTGTGCCTCTCCTGTCCCCTCTCAGCCACACCAGCGTGTGTTGCCAAGAATTGGATGGTAACAACATGCCTTAAACACCAGAGGCACGAGGTCAGCAGCTCCTCAGCTTGACCCAGGCACAGCTCCCATAGGGGAAGCCAAAACACTGAAAAATTTAGCAACAGGAAAGCAAAACAGATCCAGTGTCATTCTGCTGCATTCCAAACACATGACACCAAAGCCAACTGCTGCCTCCTGCAGTACTCACATCGCTGGGGCTGAGGTTCCCAAGACCATTGTCCTGCTCCGAATCCCTGCCGGACTCGTGGCCCTGGGAGGAGCGGGGGTGTGAGGGATGGATCCAGATCTCCAGCCTGGTGGCATCATCTCCAACTTGTCGCAGCATGGACTTCTTGCCCTTCACCCGGCAGCTGGGGCTCAGATCCAGCATCTGATGCTTCCTCTGCTCCATCTGCTCAGCCTGGGCAGACAAGATAGATTCAGATCACCCAGGCATCAAAGTACAGGAAAAGTATATGTTTTCATTTACATGGAGAAATTAGCTCTTTTGCCTGCTTCAGAACCACAGTAACTCACTGACAGGGCCAGACTTTGGTTTCTGACACCACAGGACAGTGCAGGTGAGATGTTTTCAGCTCCAACTGCCCCAGGACAGGAAAAGCTGTGTGCAGTCCTCAGGTGTGTGACAGCCAACATGCTAGATCTGTGATGTGGGGTGACCCTCTGGGGCACAAAGGAACTGCAGCCCCTCCTGCCCACCCCATAGGTGTGGGGCAGCTCTGGGATAAGGCAGCAATCACACTGCACACCACAGCCATGCTGCAAACCACAGCAACATGCAGCCCTTGCTGAGCTTGGCTGTTTTAAAGTTTGTGACCTAGAAAGAAGAGCTTCAGCTGCACAAACAACCCCAAAAGCAGCCTGAGGAGAGGCAGAAAGGACACCAGCATTCTGAGGGCTGCCTCTCTTGTTTGACTCCCAACATGGAATTCCTTAGAAGTGGGTAAGTGGTGTCTCCAAGACCAAAAGCCACCACCACTCTCCTCTCTGGCTCCTCAGGGAAAGCCTGCAGGAGCAGCTGCAGCACCCACAGCCCAGCTCCAAGACTCACCTTGCGTTTTGTCTCCTCAAACAGGCTCATCAGGCTCTCCTTGGCTGTGAGGATGGGGTTGCTGGCAGCCAGGCTGCGCATGTAATAGTAGACAGCATCCAGCTTTCTCCTCTGCAAAAGACACCAGACTTAGAGCTGCTACTCATTCCAGAGCACTCTGAGCCAAGATCCCACATACTTCGCCTTCCCTGTCCTTCAATACACGTGCCCTCCCCTCAATGCTGTCTGGGACAGACAGACATACTGACAAACGCTGTGACAAGTAGGACTTTGAACTCTCCATCCACATTCACAGCCATCAGCAGGAAGCACAAGCCCTTTGCCAGGTTTTGGGAGTGAAGGAGACACCACAAACTTCCCCTCTCTAGCTCCAAGGCTGCTACAGAAGCCATCGAGCCAGAGGCCCACAAAAAAGTCTCTCAGCAGACAACATGATAAAGGGCAAAGGTATAAATACTGAACTCCTGAAAATTCAGGAAACAACTATTTCCAACATTACTACGAATATGGAAGTGACTGCAGGTGAGTTTTACAGAGAGCAGAGGCCCAGGAAGACTGGAGGTTCTGCCAAACTGCTGCCAGCATGCATCCCTCACCCCAGCCTGCTGCTGGGCTAATCCCATCAGCAGCTTCTCAGCATCTTTCCTCCCACAGGCTGGCCACAGGGAACACCGTGAGAAGGCACACCTCAAGCCTTTATGCTACAAAGACACACAGCCATTTAGGGGCTTACACACCACCACAGAAGGCAGGACACCCTTACTGCTCCAAGCCCCACACCAGGAGTCAGAAAGATCATTCCTAGCCATGAAGGAAATGCACTTCTGAACCCTGCAGTGCTGACCTGCTCTGCTTTAAACCAAGAACTTCCATGGTTGAAAAGAGACAGATCCCTACCAGCCCATGTCCCAGCCTGATACTTCCATTTTCTGTGATCACTCCTCCCTTGAAGCAAATTTTCCTGCATGGCTGGAGAGGCAGCAAAACTGAAACTTAACAACGTCATGTGTGGGTGCCACTTAAGACCAGTACCCCCAGGATCAATGAAGACATGGCAAACAGGATCAGCATCCTCATGACAGCACAGCCTTGAGCACAAAAACCTCATGCCAAACTTTGAACTCAACCCACTTTTCAAACATCTGCCCTCTCCACAGCTCACAGAACAGCCCCCAAAATGCCAATAGCCTGAGGGAGCAGCGTGTATCTAACAAAACTGACTGAAGCCACAGCAGCTGGAATTCACACAGCACATCCTGCCATCAGCTTTTTTCTTTTTAGAAAACACATCTGGGAGCACTGCACCAACTGGAATCTTGCAGCCACCCCAGAGGCTCTTCCTATGCTTGCTGCATCCTTGCAGGAGGAGCATCTTACCGTGTAGATGGCCAGAAGTGCCAGCTGGTTGTAGGGGCGGCCGTTTTTGGGAGCAATTTGCTGAGCCTTCAGGTACCAGCTGAGAAAGGGAAAAAACAGAGAGAAAGTTTTACTGAAAAGACACCAAGTTGCCTTCCTGGCTGTGCAGGATCCTCCCGGCAGTCCCGCAGGGAACAGGCCCTTTGCACAAGTGCCCTCTGCCTGCAGGAGCACGCAGAGGCAGGGAGGCCCAGCCAGGCAGGGGGGCAGGTGCTGCTGCAGAACCAAACGCTCTGGGCTCAGCCTGGCAATGAGCATTAAGCCAGACACAGAAGTGCTGTCCCTGTGCAGCATCAGGCACAGAGAACAGGATACTCAGGGAACATCTCTCTCTCTCTAGTCCCCTTTTTAGCTCCATGGCACTTGGGACTGAACCCTCCATCTTCCTTAGCTCATTCCCCATATTTTCAAAATACTTCATCACCCCAAAAGAGGAGGCATCGTTCAGTGGCAGCTCATCTATCCCTTCCCATTTTCCCTCAATCCTATTATCCACTCTCCAGCTTATCCCATGCCACACAGATCCATCAACACTGTTCAGGCACATTATAACCCACCATGTTCCCCACAGCCTCCATGACACATCAGCATCCTCCATGATGTCCACAGACCCTCCATGATGTCCAGATCAGCAGCTTTCCCTGCCCCATTCTCCAAACCTTCACAGATGTCAGGGCTCCATCCCCCATGCTGGCCTCACTTACCCACCTGCCCCCCAGTCACTGTTCCAGAAAAAAAATCAGAGAAACAAGAATGACAGGAGGGAACAAGTGCCAGTAACTCCATCATAACATATGGATACATCTGGGAATATCTCCTAGCTGAAAAGCTACCAGAAAACACAACAGCCAGTCTACCAGCCTTGACAGCATAAATCAGAGTCAAAGACTGGTCTGGGTGGAAAGGGACCTTAAAGATCATCTAGTTCCAACTGCCCTGCGTGGGCAGGGACACCTCCCACCAGACCAGGTTGCTCCAAGCCCCACTGAGCCTGGCCCTGAGCATTTTCAGGGAGGGGACATTTCGTGCCCATTGCCCCTGGTCCTGTCTGAGGCACCACTGAGAAGAGCCTGGCCCTGCCCTCTCTGCACCCTCCCTTCAGGTATTTATATACACGGATAAGACACCCCCAGAGCCTTCTCTTCTCCAGGCTCATCAGCCCCAGCATTAAAGAAAAAATAAAATAAAGATCTGTTGACAGAATGAAGCAGCATGGACAGACTTCTTTGGCTAGTGTTAAAAGCATGAAATCCATGCCTTGCAGCCAGTGAGCTGTGCTCAGCCTGCAGGGCAGGGGACATACCTGCGTGCCTTGCCGTAGTTGGCGGTGTCGTTGGCCTGTTCCCGGTACCGGCAGATGTCCCCTTGGCAGATCATGCACCTCTGGGCGCTGATCAGCGCGTACTTCACCTGGAGGGAAGCACCCAGGACATCCTGTGGGACCCCTGCAGCCCACCTGGCTCACCTGCAGACCCTGGGAGCACCAGGGACCACAGAGAGCTAGGAGGAGGGCACTGACACACTGTCAACACTGTTCAGGCACATTATAACCCACCATGTTCCCCACAGCCTCCATGACACATCAGCATCCTCCATGATGTCCACAGACCCCAAGATCAGCAGCTTTCCCTGCCCCATTTTCCAAACCTCACATCAGCATCCTCCATGATGTCCACAGACCCTCCATGATGTCCAGATCAGCAGCTTTCCCTGCCCCATTCTCCAAACCTTCACAGATGTCAGGGCTCCATCCCCCATGCTGGCCTCACTTACCCACCTGCCCCCCAGTCACTGCTCCAAAAAAAAAATCAGAGAAACAAGAATGACAGGAGGGAACAAGTGCCAGTAACTCCATCATAACATATGGATACATCTGGGAATATCTCCTAGCTGAAAAGCTACCAGAAAACACAACAGCCAGTCTACCAGCCTTGACAGCATAAATCAGAGTCAAAGACTGGTCTGGGTGGAAAGGGACCTTAAAGATCATCTAGTTCCAACTGCCCTGCGTGGGCAGGGACACCTCCCACCAGACCAGGTTGCTCCAAGCCCCACTGAGCCTGGCCCTGAGCATTTTCAGGGAGGGGACATTTCGTGCCCATTGCCCCTGGTCCTGTCTGAGGCACCACTGAGAAGAGCCTGGCCCTGCCCTCTCTGCACCCTCCCTTCAGGTATTTATATACACGGATAAGACACCCCCAGAGCCTTCTCTTCTCCAGGCTCATCAGCCCCAGCATTAAAGAAAAAATAAAATAAAGATCTGTTGACAGAATGAAGCAGCATGGACAGACTTCTTTGGCTAGTGTTAAAAGCATGAAATCCATGCCTTGCAGCCAGTGAGCTGTGCTCAGCCTGCAGGGCAGGGGACATACCTGCGTGCCTTGCCGTAGTTGGCGGTGTCGTTGGCCTGTTCCCGGTACCGGCAGATGTCCCCTTGGCAGATCATGCACCTCTGGGCGCTGATCAGCGCGTACTTCACCTGGAGGGAAGCACCCAGGACACCCTGTGGGACCCCTGCAGCCCAGGCTGGCTCACCTGCAGACCCAGGGAGCACCAGGGACCACAGGGAGCTAGGAGGAGGGCACTGACACACTGTAGGTCCCAGGCAAGGGCAGCAGAAGGAAATGAGAGGGCTCCATGGCACTGGTTCAGCCAAGCTCCCAGACACCTCCCCTCTCACAACAGCCCCTCTCTCTCCAGGAGGAAGTTGTTCAGCACATCACCAATTTAAGGACAGCTGTTATATAAAAACAACTCAGGGAATGGAGCTGGGCTAAAATTTCCTTTCCCAGCTGTCCCTCACACTTGCACTCCCAGTTCAGGGCAAGACAGTCAAGTGTCCAAGGAGGCAGCACAACTGTGAGCTTTCCTTCTTCATTATTCATGATGCCACATACAGAAATAAGAGCTGTTCAACATCTAAGGCAGGGCCAGGGCAACTCTGGGAACTCTTTTCCCTTTATTAGTTCTGGTCACAGAGCTGGTACAAAGCTGGTACTTCTTTTGTTCTTTGCAAAGGAAGCTAAGAAATGTTAATGCACCAGAGTTGGTTCAACAAGTTCTCTAATGGCTGAGAAAGGTTCCCTGCAAACACCCTGACATCTGCTCCAAGTACAGATGCCTGCCTCTTGGCAAGAGCAGCACATGTTGCATATGATTAACAAGGAGGAGAAGTCTCCAGGAGGAGACTAACCTACCATTTTCCTCAGAGGTTTACTGCGGATGACCATCCCGTCCATGTAGTCCTCTAGCTTGAACTGGTAGGACACCTGAAGTTTCTGGAGCAGGCCATCAAAAAAAGAAGTACCCTGCAAAACACACACATACTTGAGATGTTATTGTTTCTGGTCACAAGCACAACATCACCACAATATCCCTGCCATGTGCAAGAAAGAAGGTCCCTCTCCCTGAGGTTTGGGCTGTTTCTCTTCAGAAAATAACAAGGAGGTTGGGGAATCTCCAGCCCTGGAGGTTTTCAGGACTGAGCTAGACAAAAAAAAAGACTGGTCTGATCTTGAGGAGGCTTTGAGCAGGAGGTTGAACCTCCAGCAGTCCATTCCCACCAACCAAACTCAGAAGATACATCCTCTTAGATATGTCAACCTGCCTTCTACTGAGAGTAAACTGAGCTGCACAGTTTAACAGAATTACTTTCAACCAATTTGATAAAGATGGCACAAACAACTCCAGGAATGATGGTTATTTCCATGTCAGGATGTTAATTTCATTTTGGCTTAAATCAATTTCTCATTAACATAAACCACACCCAAACAAGTCTGGTTTAAATTCTAACAAGTCTCCACCCAAATCTAGGTCTGCCACACTAACTCACAACCCGTCTGAGCATTCTCCTCACACAAGGATGGCTTAAGGCACAGAGATACGAGCAGGATCAAGGCTGGTTGCCCAGTTACACCATCCCATTGTAAGCAACAATCCCACCCAAACATTCAGAGGAGTTTCTCTCTCCTCACCTCATCTAGAAGCTGGAGCAGTTTGTTCCGAATTTCTTGGGCATTTACCCCCTGGGGGTCCTTGAGGAGCTGTCGGAACTTCTCAATCACCTGGTAAAAGGCATTTTTCCACAGCAGCTGATCCACGTTCTGGGAATCGGAAAACTCGATATCCATCAGGATGCAGCGCTCGTACAGCTGCAGCATCTCCACCCTGCAGCAAAACACCATCAGTGCTGAACACAACTGCCCAGCCTGGGCCTGAGCTGCCAGGGGACACGGGCTGAGCCACCTGCTGCTCTTCAGCCAGCCAGCACCAGATGCCAGCAGCTCGGCTGGACTGATACACATTCCAGAGGGAGAAGGGAGCTGCTGAAACCAAACACCCTTCCTGTTCCAGGAGGGCAACTGGAAAGGACCATCTTGCCTTTTTACGTAGGAATCAGAAAGAATCAGGGCCTAGCAGGGAGCTCTGCTATGGCTCTGCCCTGGGAACAGCACAGCTCAAGTGGCTCCTGATACCAACATGGAGAAAGCAGGAGCTGCTGGGCTCTGCTCCTTCCAAGCATGGAGTCTGGCTGTTCCAGGCCAGGAATAAACTTGAAGAACCAGAGGGGAAGGAGAGGTCTTGCCATAAAAATGATCTCCAGCTCCTTCCATGCACCCAAAATACAGAGCAAAAAGAGAGACTCTGCTTCCTCAAAAATGATTGAGAGCTTGGAATGTCACACCTGAAGGAAATAAAGCCTCAGTCTCAGAAATTAAATTCCCCTTGCCAGCTCCCAGCAGCCTTCCCTGGACACTAAAGCAGAATTCCTTCCCTCAATTCACTGAACAGTTGCAGGCTAGAACCAGCTCTGCAACACACAGCGCAAGCTGATGGTAATGGGGATCCTCCAGCTGTTACTGCCTTGGCAGCTCGATCCCTGATCATGCCTTGAGCCCTGCAGAAAAGCAGTGTGGATGGCAGAGCCTGGAGCAGAGCCTGGAGCAGAGCCAGCTGGCAGAGCCTGGGAAACCTGACAGAGGCAGAGGAGGATGTGGGTGGTTCTTCTGCACAAGGGGCGGTGCTGCTGCCCCACCCCATGCAGACCCCGGCCCCCCCAGATGCCTGGACAGCACAAACACTGACCAAGAGAAGTGTAACCAAGATGTTTCTGCAGATGGACACCTGCTG